ATATACATATTAGGTAATTTTATAAAGAAGATGATTAATGGTAGCTAAAATCCTAATTATTTGCTTAAGTTTTTGATTTGAATGATTAAAGTTAAAATTTATGTTTGGGTATGAACAACCAAATATTTACCCCTCTTATTATTATTAAAATTATAAWTAAATGTTAATTGTTGCATTCGGCATTTTGTAAGATGACTTAAACGGTTACACGCGGTAACAAGATTTTCTAAGCACACCACCGGGATTCTTAGGAAATCAAAGCCTTAGCCATCATAATTAAGTTATAATAAGTTATTTTTACATGTTAAGACATGTACTATGCTAGTCAGTTGCTAACCTAAATGTTTTGATTTGACGGATGTCACAAGCATCCACTGTCCAAATATCAGATACCCTTTAAATTCTACACAATCTTAAGAAAGATTAATGTTTCTTTGGCACCCATTTTACATTGGGCCCAACGGGGTTAGTGTACTTAGGAGATTTGTCTTTCTTCACTTTAGCAGACTTTTCAGCTTTATTGACTTTCCCTTTGAGAGGATCTTCAACTTTAGGGTTTTTTGTTTTGGAACAATCATTGACAATATGACAAGTATTACCATAGTGATAGCATTTCTTATAGCTGAAAAGTGTTTTAGCTCCAAGGATGCCTTTTTCCATTGATCTCTAAGGAACTTTTGGTTTCTCAGAGTTCTTTGATTCAGGTCAACCTTCATCTTCGGAGGTGGGGAAGGAGTGGTGGTTGTTGGTGGGTAGGTTTGGCAGTGGGCGATGGGGCAGTGGCGAGGCCGATGGAGTTGGAGGGTGTGGGGTGGTGGTCGGATGGTGGGGGTGGGGCGATGGTTGTTGGTTGGTGTTGGGGCGTGCATGAATGTTGGAACATAAACATATTTCCATCTTCTGCAAGCAAGATTTGTCCGCTTGTTATATGTACTTATATATCAATAATTCAATATTATCTATTTATGATATATATATATATATATATATATATATATGATTAAATCAAACGATCTACAATCCTCTTTTTAAGTCACCAAAACTCAAAGGCACATACTTATTTAAAGAATGATGAGGACCCACAAACCCAACTCATTTTAAGTTTTATTAATTGTTTTTCAAACCGCTATAATCATGTTGAATTATTTAAACGCTTTAGACCATCCAACCCACATGCACCCCTACTTTTTAGAGGCCACCATTTTAATTTTATGATATTAGATATTACATAAATGACATTTTTGGGCGGATAACAAGAAATAAACCCATGTCGTTTTATCTAGCATTTAAGTTGGAACTGCGTGCATCTAATACACCTTTTACTAAACAAATGTTTTGGAAACACACAACTCATTCTACCCAAATTTGCTGCAACTTTTTGCTTTTTTGCCAAAAAGAAAGCATTGAAAGACAAATGAGGTAGTGTAGTCGTCGGCAACTGTACAACGATGGTCGACTCATCTTACAGAACCATAAAACAAACAAAATGAAATGATACAGCGGACGCAAATTTTGCCTCCACGATACACCGGTGATGTTTGACCGCTCGCCTCTGTGTCATCACAAGCAATCTGCCTTGCAATACAAGTAGAATCAAAGATAAGAAATCGTTAACAAAACAAAATGTGAAAAAAAAGATGAAACTAAAACCAAATAAGACAAACTAGTATCTCCCACTCGAAGGTGGGGTCTGGCAGGTAAAGATGTACGCAGATTTGACTTCTACCCCACATATTAGAGCGGTTGTTTCCGTGAAGACTGCCTACCCGACTTGTTAAAGAAAGATAGGCAAATAATGAAAGCTATAATAAGTAAGTAAATAAAAATAGTTAAGGAAACTAGTTGTAGCACTTTGGGACTGGATGGTTTTCTTACACTCACTCCTATATATAAGGTCACGGAGGCTATCGGATTTATAATGGTCTTCTTATTCCACTGCGAGGCAGATTTCGTGGCTCAAACTGATGATCTTTTGGACCATACGTTACATTCCATCCGCAGGTCGGATTAGGGGATAGGATGTATGTAGGCGTGTCCTCTAACCTTAAATGATAGGATAACTGTTTCCATGAAGACCTCCGACTTGCAAAATGTGTGAGAAAGTGTTCACCCAAAATGTTTGAAAAATTAGAAAAAAAGACTTTGAAAAAGAATAGGAGATAAGAAAGAAAGATTCGATAAATTTGGAAAAAGCAGAACTAAGTCCCGTTAGAAGTAAGCAACAACATAAAAACAGAAGTAGATACAAGAAAACTACAAAACCATACTCTAACTTAGGACTCTAGTCATGCGTCCAGCATGTCCCCACTCCTGGTCTGCTACCCTAGTCATGCGTCTCCTAAAACTCCTATCATAAGTCATGTCCTTAAAAATGACTAAAGCGGCCATGCCCAACCTCAAGACTAAGGGGGGTAAATAGCAATTTGGATTAAAACTTCACCAGAAAATGGCGTGTTGCGTTTGTGATGGGATAGAGGTTTCCGGAGTCATAAGCATAGTGTCATGGTACTTATTGTGTCTTATACAGTTGTGATAGTTAGGCTGCGAACGAACCTAAACAAGCTTGAGCTCAATAGGGCTGAAGCTCACCTCAACAGTCTTAGGTCTACACTCGAACTCGTTTTGGTAGCTGGACGAGTCTTCTTTTTGTAGGCTCAAGTTTGGCTCGAGGAAGATTTGAGTTAGTTCAAGAGCGCGAAAAACATCTATCATATAATGCTTATTTTAAAGCTCAAATAACTCAAAAATATCTATGAGAACTAGGTTCAAGGGTGGGGAACCGTAGGAACAACTTTTATTTCTGAAGGTTCACATAAGTATGTTAACTTATGTGAACCTCCGGTAACAAATAACATCCTAGCATAATATAACATTTCATGTTAAGGTATGTTAACTTACGTGAACCTCCGGTAACAAAGTGGTTCTTACAGTTCCCACGAAAAAAAAAAGGTTCATACACAGTCCCAATGCCTATGTTAAATGGAACTATAGAAAAACACAACTCAGTGTATATTTAGAGCACATTTTTGTGCTTGAAATCAAACTCAATACAGTTTGGCTAGTTCAAACTTGAATTACTCGATAAAAGCTTGACTCTTTTGCAGCCCTAGTCATAGTACTTGCATCTAAAAACAGCATTGCCATAAGCTACTGAAAATATATGACGGGGTTTTAAACACTAAATAAAACTTTCAAATAGATTATGCATGTACCTTATAAAAGAACTTGGATTGCAGCATCAAATTGATAATGAAAGCGGAAGAATGGCATCGAGATTAACTTTGAACGACCATTCTTGAGGATGGGCGGATGATGAATCCATAGGAAGATGCCAAACTAATACCTTTGAGCAGTCCTTTGGTATTCCTTCCATTTCTGTCTCATCCTCCACAACTTGTTCTAAGAAACTGCTGATCTGTGAATCATAATGAATCATACTTTTATACAAGTGTTCACATATTAGTCAATCGCTAAAACGTCTTTCAAACAAATTCAATCCCCCATTTTATTGTCCATTCACATGTGAATGAACACAAAAAACCACAAGCAGAAAACACTTGAAAAACACACCAAAAGCAAATACCCATAGCATCATATGTAATGTAATGACTCATAATTTTATGCAAGTGCTAGACTATTAGTCGAATGTTTGAAATGCTCTTCAATATATCCATCAATTACTTGAAACGTTTGCTATGCACAAATAAGGGGTTGTTTGGTTCGTTTTCCATTAAAAGTCCTGAATTAAGCTGACTCGATGGATTAATCTGTATGTATAGATTGGGAGAGTTTTTGTTTGGGAAAGTTTTTTCATATATGAAAGGAACATGTTCTTAATTGGGAGGGGCAAGTTTGAAATTTTTTGGCTTTATGCATAAAGCTCTCCCTAGAATCTTACTGAATAAGCCACTCCCTATATCATTAAGTCACTACCAAACAGTCATGTATAGCTAACCGAGTAAGCTGTGAGTCACATTAAACTCATTAAGCTGTTAACAAACAAGCTCTAAGGGGCCGTTTACATAAACACTTACCCAGTAAGTGCTTACGGGTAAAATTCAACACTATCATTTACTTACCAAGTAAGATTTGAGTCCACCAAAACAACATTATATGTAATAATTTACTCAGTAAGCGCTAACCGTGGTAAGAGTCGTCGCCATCACTTACTGGGTAAGAACTCTTGGTCCTTGCCTTCGCTCTTACCGGATAAGATTCTTGGTCCTTGCCATATTCATCTGGTAAGGTAATGTGACTTGGTAAGCGCTTACCCAGGTAAGCATTTGGTAAACGGCCCCCAAGTAATTCTAGCTTGAAATGTTGCTATATAAGGAAACATCACAACCAATACATGATGAAATTACTGCCAACTTTATGGGAGGGTTCTTTAGGAAGAGACATTCTTCTGTTAGACTGAGGCATTCTTAAATCTGTCGTAAGGTAATACATTTTAACAAAATTGGTCAGAAAATTATTTTCCATAACCCGTGTGAAATAGTACTCCCTTGTCGAATCTGCAATTTTTATGGACAAAAAGTAGTATATTGACAACTCTACATTCTACCATCCAAATCGTATATCCCATCCCCCCCCCTGCAACAATTTGTATTGCGTATATTCTAATTGTGGATATAAAGCATTACATGTTAGGGGTAATATTGGAAATTAAAGTAAACTATAGGTTATACTAATACGGGAAGGAAGAAAAGGAAACTAACTTGGAAGCCATCCTTGAGAGTATCGAGCTGCCTAATTGGTTCAATAGTAGGCCGGTGCCATTTCTTTGGATCCCAAAGTATAGTGCTATTGAAAGCAAATCCTGATAAGTCCGCATGAAACCTATGGAATCTTCGCATCACATTATTTGTATGCCATCCAATAACTTGTGTCCCGTTACAAATGGGCCCCACAAATGTAGCTACTCTTGTGTTCTTCTTAAGTTTGGCTACTGGCCAAGTACCAAACCGCCTTCAAGTCGGAAAAAAAAATTGAAGTCAGCACGAATTTACACGAATGATTAATATTTGGAAAATCCACCAAAATAGCCATTTATGGAGAAAAGATTGAAGATCTGTTAATTTCGCTAATATAGCCGCCAATTGGCAGAATCAACTTTTTGTCGGATGGTGAGCCCAACTCAGCAGAATCTGGTCACCCGCTAAAACTGAGAATTCAAAATTTCACAAAAAGAAAACCTCTTTTCGACGAAATTTGGCAGAATCACGTGTCATCATCTGATTGGTTTGTAAACCTCATAGTTGGGCTCACAATCCAACGAGAAGTGGATCACACCAAATTTGGCGGAATTCTCGGCTATTTCTTTGTACACCTCGAAAAAATGGCTATTTCTTCAAAAATATTTGCCATAAATGGCTATTTTCGTGAATTTCCCTTGATATTTTAATAAATGGCATAATTAGTGAAAGCAACAAGTTTCATCTAAGTTGAAATTTTTAGCCAATAACGTCATCAATAAACAAGCACAAGTTTAAAGAAGGTCAAGCCTAAAATTCTTTCTAAAGAAATTCTATTGGCTTTCTGGTGAAAGTATCAAACAGTAAATAATATTATTCAATGAAAAAAGACGAATAAGACAATACGAGTTCTTGGGTTTCAAATAAAGGGTTATGGTTCTGCTCGACAAGATACTAGACTCTGAAGCCCCAAATCTGTACATCAATGTTCCAAGTATTCATTTTTAATACAAACTCGGCTGTGTTTCTTCACCCTTTTCCAAAAAAGTTCCTACTCCTAAATCATCGCTTTTGATTTAGTGTTGTTCTAAACGTGTTTACACATTTAAAACAAGATACAATAGTATCGCTTGCTAAGCCAAGCTTGTTTCAATAATTTTGATGAAAATATTGCAAGATTTTGTCCTAAATAGAAGAAACAAAATAAGTTTGTAAAATCAAGAAATCCGGGATTTCATTTCTTAAAAGGTTTTCTAACTCAAAGAGTATTTTGTAACTGTGGGTGTTTGGGCCAGCTTGCACGCACCTCAACTAATTTCATGGGTCTCGAAGTTAACAGCAAGGCAAATTTTCAGTGGCCCTATTTTGGACTTGAATCGTTGACCTCTAGGGAGCAAACCCAAGGTCTTAACAATGAAGCTACCCCCCAAAGTTAACTGAAAATGTACCATGTAGGCAAATAAAAAAAGCTCCAACAAAGGTCAACACTCAGTTTCATAGTTCAGCCCAATACTTTTCTATAATGAGAATTGAACCAAACACTAGTACCAGGAGGTCCCAGGTTCAAATCCAATGAAGAATAAAAATCCCCTTGTGGCCACGGAGGTTCAAATGCGGTGACTCCAGGCTATCTGCGACGCAGGTGGTCGCCCTGGGATTAGTCGGCTCGCATAGCGGATTGGATATCCAGGTTAATAAAAAAAAAAAAAAAACTCGAATAATACACATGTAGGAGTATAAAATGCATCATCTGCATTCATAGAATGCTGTGAACCCAAAGTGATTGTATTCAAAACTAACCTATATCCTAGTTCAAACCATACCAACATTTTAATTATGCAGGTTACAAATTGAGTTTTTGATCATTTTCCATGCTTGCAAACCGGCAATTAAAGTATCATTTGGTAACACTTACATATTTTTGTTGTTCGTCTACATCCTTTTATGATGTGAATAGTAATCACAACAGTTTCATTAAAATTAAACAGTTCAACTTGTGTTTTTATTCATAAACTTGCTTTGCGAACTATTAAAACATCATAATCAAGTTTATAATTTATTACTAGCTTTTACAGCATTTTATAACCGGTTTTGGTTCTTTGGGAGCATAGACCGTCGCCAAACCATTTCTTATATCTTGTTTACACTTGTTCAAGAAATGCAAACACAAACCAAACCAAACCAAACCAAACCAAACCAAACCAAACCAAACCAAACCAAACAGGCACAGTGAACCCATACAGACGTAGGGTCTGGGAGGTAAGATGTACACAAGATTTACCTCTGTCCCAAGGGGTCGAGAGGTGGTTTTCATGAATACCTCCGGTTTTGCAAGACAAATAAATAAAAGAACAAGCAAGCAAGCTACGAGGGAGAGTGCGTGCAAACAAGCAAACAGAAAATGCATCAAGGCAGTAGTAAGGGAAATATGTTACACAAACAAAAAGAAAATCTAAGAGTAAAGCATGGAAAACATAAACCAAAAACCTAAATTGAAATATTTGCCAAACTACATGTAATTATTTGGGTAAAAAGAAGTTAGAAGTAAAGGAATTGAGGAGTAAAAGAATGTACCTGATCTGCCTCATATGGTCAAAAAGTTCGGTAGAGTAGATATTAGTATCATCAGCAAAGTATATGATTCCATCAAGCCGATGCGTTTCAATATGCAACAGAGCCACGTTTCTCTGGTGCACTCTAGAATCTTTAATCTCTGTTGTGTTCTTTGTGCATACAAGATGCCTATACATAACACCACTCCTCCTCAACAACTCAGACGTATGACCCGATTGGCTTGTCATTTCCACAACGATCCACAACAAAGGCGGCTGTACCAACTTCAGAGTATGTGCCAAACGATTAAGGTAATACGCCTGAAACATCCTAGGATATGTCGGGGTCACAATTATCAAAAACTTGCCAATACCCATCTCAGGACCATGAATCTGTGGAAGAACAAGAACAATACTATTTGAAGTTTCGTTTTCTTGTTTTGCTTGACCCATTTGTCCCTCCAAATCCGATGAGACATTACTGGCCACCACCGTTTCCACTACTTTCATATGACTAACATCATTCAATTGAACTTTCCCGAATTGCTCAAAGGAAAAAGCCTGGTTTCTTGACATGAGATTGGTGGAGGTTCTTATTGAAACAATAGGGGTAAACCCCACAAAAACTCCAACAAGAAAACATACGATGAAATGAAAAAGAGACCTCCTCCAGAGATTTCCTTTGGGTTTTTGCTTTTCTAAAGGCCTAGAAGTTCTTTTTGGGAAAAGATTTAAGACTAGAGATTGAAAACGATACAAAGCGTATTCAGTAGATGCAAAAGATGAATTAGGAACCGATCCACTTGTTGGAGTATAGTCCTGGTTACAAGATGAACATTTCGACAATGGAGAAGCAACTGAACAAGCTTCTCCACCTAGCACAGTCCCTGGCCTAGGTACTGGAGACAATGTTCTTCTAATCGTGGTCATGATACCTAAATCAACAAAACAAAATCCACGAATTCTCTAATCTACATTTACTATTACCACAATTAGCATCAAAGCTACATGCCTCATATTTCCCCCCCAAAAAAAGCAGCTCCTATACTTACAAATAGAAGACATACACATTTTGAATAGATACCCACCTCATATCAACAAATCTTCGTTTCTCTCTTCAGTGGCAGGGTGTAAATTCAGCATAAAATGCATCGATTCCTTTCTCCCTTTTAGATTCGTTGAGAAAGTCAATAACCCTTATCCTAAACTTCAATTAAATCATCAAAGTGTGTGCTAACTCTCAAATCTGAATAGTGTCAAGCAGATTACTGATGTTTGATGATGTAGAGATGCATAAATCAAGCAGAAATCCGAGAACCCAATTCGAGAATTTCCTTAAGAAATAAACTATACGAAAATGACAGCTCCAAAAATGAAATTTAGGCAGAAAGGAAACGTGGGTCTAACACGATAGCAATAATGTATGCTCCGATTGCTCGTTTGTGGACAATTTTTCGTCAAGTATCGTGAATCAATAATGGAGAAAAGTCTTAGTGGGAAAAGCAGTGACGGAGAGAGGGAGTGATGAGCGAATGTGCATCTAATCAAGAGAGATTCGAAAGGGGACAAAAGGGGGTCAAAAAGACATCAGTGTAGATCGAAGGTTTCAACATTCACGGACCGTTACAGCATTTCACACACAAGTGATTGAATTCTATTTAATTAAGAGTAAGCTACAAATTTGGTCCTCGTAGTTATTTGAAAATAACATTTTTAGTACTTATAGTTTTAAAATTATAAGTTGTTCATCATGATTTACAAAAACATCCAGATTTGGTTCCTCCCTCTGACATGCATTATAAAATTCCGTTAAATATGAGACATTTTTGTCCTTTTATCATTTTTTTGTTTTTTACCTGATCAAAAACCACATAAAACAAAATCATAAAATTGGTTTTGATGAGTAAAAGATAAAAACAATCGATAAAATTAAGGGGTTGTTTATTTACCTCTTAACAGTTCAATTAAGAGACAACTTCTGAATCGTTAAGAGAATAATCGTGTTTGACAAAAAAAATTCTATCTCTTAGTGTTTCTAAAACCCTCTAAATGATTTTGTATCATGGGCATCCCTTAACCATTCAGCGCTCTAATTTCATTGTAAATAATTACCAAACAACTACATTTCATTTTGCACTATATCATGAGAGTTTTTTAATGATTATGTACCAAATTATTCAGCAACTGTTAAACAACCTCTAAGACTGTAAGCGAATCAAAAGTTCAATGGGAACGGTTCATGGAAAGTCCGTTTATAAAGTTGAACAAGTTTTTTCATTCGTTTAATTAAACAAATAAACATAAACATTTTGTTCGTTTATTTATGTTCGTCTACTGATGATAATAAGTTAATAAATAAATATTAATTAGTTAATAATTTAATAATAATTAATAAATAATAACAATTTTAATAAAGATTTCATATATTTCAAAAAAATTAATAAAAAATAAAACATTTATTGCTGTCTAAAACTGTTGGGTGCGTTTGGTTTGCAGGAATGAAATGGAATTGGGGGGATTTGGATTTGAAATCCATTCAAATCCAGTGTTTGGTTTGCTGGATTGTGAGGATTTAAAATCCAATGATTCCTTTGAAATCCCATGAACAATGGATTTAAGAATCCTTCGCTTAGACATGGTATTTTAGAATCCATTCCCGTGGGATTCTTTTTGCCCTAACCTACCCGTCTCCATCTTCTCCTCCATTTTCATTGCTCACCTCCGTCGCTTTCTCCCAGTCATCTCCGTCGCCGTCGCTTCCCCCCACGGTCGTCTCCGTCGCCGTCGCTTCCCCCCACGGTCGTCTTCGTCGCCGTCGCTTCCCCCCGAGATCGTCTCCGTCGCCGTCGCTTCCCCCCGAGGTCATCACCGTCGCTTCCCCCCAAGGTCGTCTCCGTCGCTTTCCCTCGAGGTCGTCTCCATCGCCGTGGCTTTCTCCCACCGTCGTCTCCATCGCGTCCTCCATTTTCATCCCTGACCATCTCCTCCAGCTTTATCCCACCGTGTTCGTCTCCATCGCTGAAGACAGGTAATTTCTACTTACTTCGATTTCTGTTACGACTTCACAATACGATTAATGCTCCGATTTGTATTTCGATTTCTGCATATTGTACTTCAATTTTTGCATATTTTGTTCCGATTTGTACTTCATATGTTGTTCCGATTAAGTTCATATGCTGTTCCGATTAATGTTCCGATTTGTACTTCATATACTGTTACAAAAAAAATCCAAATCCAAATCCTACAAACCAAACAGAGGAATGGATTTCAAATCCAATCCAAATCCTGCAAACCAAACACAGGAATGGATTTTAAATCCAATCCAATCCAAATCCCTCCTGGGAATCCAAATCCCACAGAAACTTTTCCTTTTCCTTTGTGTGTAAATGATGCGAGTCAAGTTTGAGTATTAATATATTGGATTCGAACTTAAAAGTCATTTTTTAAGTTTGAACTCGATCTAAAAACTAAACTCGAACCGAACTTGATTATAATTTTTTAAGCTCGAACTTTTTTAAAGCTCGAACTAATCTCACACATTGAAATTTAAGAAATTTTAGGGTCTTTATTTATAAATTTTAAAACTTAAAAATTGTTCTCTTAATTTTTATAAAACTAAAGGGATGCATCTCAAACTCTATCATCAAAAAGATAAAGTTACGAGTTTGGTTCACCTCTTCACCCTTCTTTTATTATCTCTTCTTTCAATATGGACAACTTTACCAACACTTTTATAGTTTTTATTTTTTTTAATTATGATTTAATAAAAAAAATTGATTAGTTTTTATAGTTAAAACATGCACAATTTTGTTCAAATATCTAAAAATATAAGACATTTTTATTATATAATATTTTACAAATTATATCTTAAAAACTGATTATATTTTTAAACTAATTTTATATCAAAAGATCGAGTATCTCGCGAGTTTTTAGAGTCGAGTATTGGGTAGCTCGACTCAACTCGTGAATATGTCGAGTTGAGCTCGAGTTCGAGCCAAGCCTATTCGAATCGAGTGTCGACTAAGCTTTGAGCGAGTCAATCTCGAGTATTTTACGTTTTGTTTCGTATCATTTACACCCCTACTCTAGGGTACATATATAGAATACAAATAAAACGAAATCTTTCATATATTGCAACTCTTTTTAATTTAATCTCAGCCTTTAATCTTTTTCATTTTAACGTTTCATAAGTTGATGGTACTGTATATGAAACTAAAACGCATATTCAGAAATATATATGACGAAAAGAACGAAGTTGCCATTATTTAGATAACTTTAAAGGTTGTTAAATCTGTGAAATAATAAATAAATTAAAAACAATTTTAAATATTTAAATAAATTAAATAATCTTAAAAACCTCCCCATGAAATAGGGGAATTTAAGTTTTAATTAAATTAAAAAAAAAAAGGAAAAATGATGAAGTTATCTTTTTGTTACAAAATTAACTAAATAATAACCTCATTAAAAATGGGATAGATCAATGGTTTATCTTACACTAAAAGAGGTTGCATTGGTTGCAACAATATGGAATGTTACATTTGATGTCCCCCTCTCTTTTTATATATATATAGGGACAAGTTTAAATGAGAACGTTAACTATTTAAGAAAAAAAAATTAACGTACAAACTCATATATGATTCACGTAACAAATTGTACATGATCTGGTCGACTTTGCCCTGCGAGTTAAGTGGCCTCAAAAGTCGACTATTTCCATTTGATCAATCACTTGTAATTTTGTACATTAACAACATTTTTTTTTGTTTTTTTAAATAGTTAATATTCTCGTTTGAATCCTATCTCTCTCTCTCTCTCTCTCTCTCTCTCTCTCTCTATATATATATATATATATATATATATTAAATAGAAAGTAAACCAGGGTGTTTATCTCAATTTTTCATATTTTTGGGTTTTTCTGTTTGTAAATCAATTGTTTTACCACTTACAAGTGGCTTGAGTCCATTGGCTTAGCTCATGTGAACAGTATGATTGGAGCATCTCATGAAAGCGGGGCACCTTCTGTTCATTTAGTATTTCAACGAACGAACATGAATGAACACAAATACACCCATTTTCTAAACGAACATGAACACAAAATTTCTTGTTCGCTTACTGCTCGTGTTTGTTCGGTTAAGTTAAACGAACAAACATGAACAAGCCTTCGTTTGTGTCCGTTTGGTTTGTTTACAGGCCTAGATAAAATGACGAAAATGACTTTCATTTAACGGCAATGTTTAACAACCGTTAGAGGGAGGAGCCAAATATGAAGGAAAAAAAAGTATAAACCATGATAGCTATTTTGTAATTTTGAAACTATAGGGACGAAAAGTGTTATTTTCGACAACTCACATGAACCAAATTTATATAGTTTACTCGTTAATTAATGAATACTTTCCAATTTTTGTTATAGCACTGTACTTTCATTTTTTTTATTAAAACATTGTACTTCGAAAAATCTACCAATTAATAGAAAAACTTTAAAATATATATTATATATGTAAGCATTAATATTTGTAAAATATATAATATAGTATTAATATTATTGGACAGTTAAGTTTGAAAAACATATGTTTTTTATTACTAAAATAATTTGTACAAGTTCAGTTATTAAACTTTAAGTAAAGGTCGTTTACCAAACGCTTATATGGGCCATGCTTTGTTTTAGTAGAAAAACACTTAGTCTTACCTGCTTTGCATTACTCTATTCTGCATTTGATAGAACATTAAACACAAAATGCCAAGCTATATGAGGCATGGTGCACTAAAACGAATTAGAACAACATGCATAAAACCACTGATACTATGTTGACACCTACACAAATTTATAACATAATTTAATGTCAACCTGTAATTCATCATACTTGGTACATCTTATTCAATAAAGATTCAAATGACCTTTGAAATGCTAAAGTTTGTATTCACTGCTCTCCTTCTACAAACATCTTATTTGTTGACATTATCCCATTCAAGACCGATATTTGTGCTATTATTGCATCTTTGGAACAAGCTGTAGGTATACGTTAACCGTGGCAGGGTTGGTGATAAAGGCATTTAATTTGTTTGATCAAATGCTCACTGTTCAGAAGCTTCTCATGTAACTCACTAAAAGAAACTAGTGACTCATTGACCATGTAGTGTATTGATTATTTTGTCAAACTCTAGATATTGATCTGACGTAGAACCTGATCAATAATACAATTTGAATCAAAAGGTTTCCAAAGAGAGGTGAGTTGATCACAATATCATTCAGGGGTTGTTAATTTGGTATGTTTTCAACTAAGTCGTGTATGTATTAGGTTATCTTTAAGGATTACAATAAATTGTTATTTTATTGTCAGTTTAAATAAACAATTTAAATAACATAAATGACTATTATACCCCTTTGTCAAGGTTAATCGTTGATTAAAATAATTTGTTCGATAAATATGATAGAATGCAAATTCTGAATGATAAAAAAAATACCAATTTAACATCTTGTTTT